ACATAAAAACGTTTCGGAGAAAAATACTGCCTGCGTCTTCAGACCTAAATATAAAAGCAGTTTGTTTCTCCGAAACGTTGGTATCTACCTGTAAGTCCACATGACGTTACTATCAAGAAGAAAAACATTAACGTCTTCCCTGCAATGAAAGCCTCAAATCTCACATACGCTGGAAATTCTTGTGCTCCAATAGACTATAACGTATACATTATCGGATATTCTTTTTAAATTTTGTCTCGGGATAACAGAAACATTATTTTAGACTGTGGAGAACAGGGTGGCACAGTATATGCTACTGGTCGAGGTTCATAACTAAGTTTTTGACAGGGACGAATGCTATTAATTGTGAGGCTTTTAGTTGACTTAGTGCACACGAAAGTAAAAACACACATTCTGCCCTACCACCAATCATGCGAAACTTGAAAAAGAAATGTAATATTCTCATCATTAATACACACATTTATATAATATTTTAATTTTTTTGTAAAGTCACGTTTAATTGCTTTTAAAGATTACATAGGTTTATTTCTATGAAACGTTGTTTAGGCAGTACGCCATTAGAGTATGCTCCATAATTTTACTTTCTAATTACCTACAATCAATTATACCAACATGACAAAAGTACAGGCGAAAACAGTGGTACTTCATGTAGTGTCATGACATTTTATGTAGCGATAGATATTTAAGAATAACGTGTATTTTGTTAAGAAACTGTTTTATAGAATATAACAATCGCGCAAAATTGATAATCAACTTTCGGAATACGGGCGAAAACTTGGAATCACAGAAGCGGAATTTTGCGTGGAAGAAGTCTATAAATCCTAGTACAAATTTTTATGTGTTGAATCTTGGGGTAAATTTGACGCATACATATAATTCTGACGATGTAATAGTTGAAATTGTAAAGACCTAATTATTAATTTGTAGATCTTCTTAGCTTCATTATAGACTGAAGCATTTGTAAGAACGGCAAGCAACTTTTTCTCATAATTTCTTACTGTTATTCATGGACATACATGAATTCTTAAATTTAACACTTTCCCCAGAAACACCGCTATTACAAACGAGACTGAAGTGAAAACCTAATTTTTTAATACCAGTATTGCTATGCCATTCACACACTTCACTTACCACGATTTTTTGCATAGTATCTGACCGTTCTTAAATACAAATGAGTGTTTACTTACATAAATTGTTTTCGTAATGCCATAGCCTTCTGAATTTAGTCCCATAGGAGCGATGTAATTATTAAAAGAATCATCTACTCAAGATCTCGCTATGTTGTAGATGCAGCGTATTTGTTTGTATTGCTTCCTACCATGGTGTGAGCATGCTGTTCCTCTGTTCCTCTGCTCCCTGTGCCAACGCCAAGAACAGTTTTAATTATCGAGTTGCGGGTAAATGTCTGAAACTGTAAGTCAGACCAAGTGTCCATCTACTCCATGTCGTTCACGGTGACTTCACAGTGGATGCACCCACTACTCGGAAAGACGGCGGGACACTGCAGCGCACAGTTCACAATGGAACTGCGGCCGAATCAATTTCTCACTCGCTCCATAGAGCAGAGTTCATAACAAATGAGAACAGCGGTGTAAAGATGGCTGTCTTCTGGGTTGTTGTGCCGTGTGGGCTGATTGATGTTAACCGGCGATCGCTTTTATGATGATGATGATGCCAGCAAGTACCTCTGAAACGTCTGAAACCTTTGCCAGACTACACGGAATATGATTCTTGAGAAGCTAATAGTCTCACGTTTATTAATTTGTTTGGACAATCTCATTTATGCATGAACGTCGGGAGGAATCATTTTAAGAACTTGTAACTTGGAGTTTAAGGGGTGAGCCGCGGTGAATTCTGAGTATTATCCAACGTTTCGGCAAACAATTCACTTGCCATATTCAGGGTGAATATGCAGTGAAAAGAATTTTGGAAGCCTTATATAGAGCAGTCAGTGGGTAACGAGTTAAGATTCAAAAATGTTGATCAGGAGAGCTCGTTCCACCAGTCGGTCTCGAGGACATTTGAACCCGCGTTCCCCACAATAGGAAGCAGAATTATAATCACACGACCAAATGTTGCCTTCAGAGAAAAATTATAGAAAGACAAAGGAGAGGTATTATTTGAAACAATGTCTCACAGAATGTTAATAGAAATTATAATGATGCTATCGTGTTGTTGTTGATGATAATATTCCACAAATGCTATATAAACAGTAACGTAGCATTTGTACAGTGTTTATCAGTTGTGTCATTTCAAGCGATAGGAGTACTAATTAATAATAAAAAAATAAAATGACACACTCAACGGAAACAGATTTCAATAAACAGCCCTCTTCCGTCCCGACAAAACATTAACAACTGTAGTTTAAAATGGTTATCAGTTTTGACTTGTATCAATACTGTTCTGCGTTATAAAACAGGGTGTACTTCCAGGTAGATACCGATGTTTCAGAGAAACAAGCTGTCTCCATCGTCAGGATTAAAGTCCTGCCCACCTCAAT